GGGGGGGGGTACTCATTGAGACGTTTCATTGAAACTATCTTAAGCCATTATAATGTTCTTTGTTTTATTTCTGTTGAACATGTGGCTTTAGATGTAATCATATAAGCTTATTATTATCCTTGATAAACTGTTGAACTTGTTTGGGTATTTAACTTCTCTCTATGAGGTTACAAATAGGATTTACTGCTTTTTTATATCACCACGCATTTAGTTTTCTTCACATTTAAAAATATGATATATAAATATATACTCAAAGGAAAAAAAAAGAATGTGCGCATAATTTAAAAAGACACACCTTCATTAATTGAAGGTCAGCAGTCGCCCAATTTTTGCATGGAAACTCATGTAAGTTGTTTTGATAAGTTGCGCGAAGTTTAGCAAAAATTCTGGTTTGTCAAGGGAGATAACTTTGTAGTTTCAAATTTATTCAACAGCATTATAATACGAACTATGTGTACGTACACTTATTTAGAATTTGAGTCTATGATTCACTTCCTTTAAGTCTGTTTGTGCCGAAAAACATAAAATACTACAACGTTTCTGCTTTTGAAACATGCCACCACGTCTGTCTGAAAATGATAGAAGGCGAGCGTTAGGAATGCTCCAGGCTGGAAGTACACAGCGAATGTGGCTCAAAAGCCCAATGTCCACGGAAACAGCATTGGACGTTTGTTGACATGTGTCGGATCGTCTAGAGCGATGAATGAAAGACCTTGAAGTGGATCACAACGCAGAGACAAGAACGACACATCCACCGAGGTTCATCTCCAAAACAGATTGCGGCACGTAATGTCCTTGGATAAAGATCAATCACATTCCCAGCGAAAACTGTCTAGACCTCAAACGTTTGACGAACTTGAGCAATAGCTAGAAAGAATCTAGCAGCTGATTTCCGCTGCAGTTTATCCAACAACTTACCTGTGTCTTTTCTATGCGTCGACGGTGCCAATCAGTCATCAATGTAGCAAGTGGCTACACGCAGTAGGCCCTACCGTACTGATTTTCTGAATTTGGAAATAAGGGGGTTCAAACTTGTAATGAATGTGTTTGTGCAAAAGTTTAAATGAACACTTCAATGAAAATTATTTACCCCCTTGACTTTTTCCTTGATATGTGCTTCGTCTAGAAAACGAATGAATTCTCTAAGTTTACAAATTATTTATCCACAATTGGTTTACAAGATCAATATTATTTTTATTTCTATGCCCACTTTCTTTTTCCGCGAGAGAAATATAATATACACCATGAACGAATATACAGTATATTATACATAATATTGTCAGTGTTTTCGCATTTATTTGACCTTATGCAATGTTAAACAACATAACAAAACAATACAAATGCTTCATAATTACGATGGTCATATAATAATGTACTCGTGCCAACAGCCAATGAAGGCCTATAGGTCTTACTATGACGTTAAAATATTATAGAACGTTCATTTAGCAAACATTGACTTCATTCCGTTTGCTGTGGAAACTTTTCTTTGTAGGCTACATAATGAAATGACGCGTAACAGGTCCTGAGACGGATGAAAAGCCTAGCCCATCTGAACAGCGATTCCGTGTTAAAGGGGGGGGGGGGTCCCACCTATTTTTGGTCAATCTGGATCAAATTGGGTATTACAATATTTTTTGCCTTTTCTCAATCATTTCTCTGTTGATTTAATTGTCCTTTGGCACAGTCGTAGTTAGTTGAATGCCCAACATTAATTCTTGTACATTGTTATTCTATCTTCACTAATTAGAGAGGTATCTCATTTTTTGTCGAAAATATTTGATTTTTTAATTTTTGACACATTTTTCGAAACTCCTCTGAAGATTACCGGTGTATCTTGATGGCATTTGGCATACTTGTTGCCCTTAGGGGTAGTTACATTGTATTGTCAGCGGTTTTTTTATATCTATCTTGCTTTTTATTTATGATTTTAAAAATTTGGAAAATTGACCGTTTTCTGCATTTTTGACAAGATTTGCACGCTTCTTCCTGTAACTCCGAAATGAAATAAGATATCGAAAAATACTGACTATGTTTAACTTATATGCCTCTTGGGTACATGTGTTGCAAAGGACAATAAATTCCATCGGTAAATATCAGAGGAGTATTGATTTGAAAACATGATGTGAAAATCCAATATGGCCGCCATAAAAATGGCGCCATCTTGGATCCGGAAAAAAAATTTGTTCATGGTAATACCTGTATCATGACAAAGTTGTATGCCAAATTTAAGGTTTCTAGGTCCAGAAATAAAGGAGTTAGGTTGTTTGTGTGACT